ATATATAATCGGTTTTTACAACCATCAACATGCATTTTCACGCGCCAGTTTTGGGTGCTATCCAAAAGAGTTCAGGACATCAGACTAGTGGCACACATTTTGTATAAAACACAATGTGATGAGCGAGAATCGTTGTCGGTGCTCTGTCTACTTTGAAAAACATACTACAGATTGTGTAATTGAGAAGAGTATCAACTTCAAATACAAAACTTCGAAATCGGATTATGTCCTCATTGTTCGTGACTTAGTATCCAGGCAGAATGTGATGAAAATTTGGATGAATGAATGACAATATGGAGGGTTCAGTTCAGTTCTGTTTTTACCACCATTACCTGTACACTTTCATGCGCCGGTTTTGGTTACTGTCTTTTGGCCATACATTTGGATAAAAGAGCAGAATGAAGATCGGAATGTTGAGAGAGCAGAGGCAAAGGGAAGATAGTTAATTCATATAGACTGAGTTTGCAAGAATAATGAGTGAATGCGTGAGCACCACTGTTTGCGACACCCAGCCATATCGCTCAGTGTCTCTAACCAGCGATGACGGTGATCTCGGGGTCCCCATCTAAGGATTCTACTGGGACCTATTTGATCCAGTCTCCTGGTTAGGGTTTTCATACCGTCATACCAGGTCTTAGTTTGACCGCCCTTGACCTTTTTTCATCTGCTACCTGCCTCTGCAAACATCGCTCACAGTGGAAACCTATCTGGTGATATGCGCTGCACATGTCCTAACCAGCGTAATCTATGAAGATCAACCATTTGCTCCAGTGGACGACCGTGATTATCTTAAGCTCGCCGTCTAACCTCAGCATTGCTCGTCTGGTTTCCGCATCAGACTCGTGCAATGCGATGTAGACGCCGATGTTCCAACACCGACAAACTATTTTTACCGTGTTCTCGAAATGGCCAAGACTCTGTACCGATTAACGGTACTGGCCGAACTGCTACAGCATATACTTGACCCTTCACGGACAGCCGAATCTCGGGACGGCGCTACAGATGTCTCAAGTTGGCAAATGCCAACCGAACCTTCTGTATGCCCTCTGTATGATCAGAGGTGCACACAAACGAAACAAGGCCGTCCACACAGCAAGGCGGTCGGAGTTCTGTTACGTTGTTGCGTGGCCTATTTGGACTGATGGAACGAGGGAGCTAATTTTTAAGATCAGAATCACAGCTGGGACGGAATGCCCTAAAAGTGTTCAATAAACAAAAAAGACGATGACAGAACAGAGACCAAACTTCATTCTCCAGAATGACACACAGAGGTGCAAACGTCCGTGTACGCAAACTGTATCCGGGTGCTTGCTGCATAACTTGGACCGTTAGACAGGTCATTGTGAGCTAAATGATATATAATAATCCGTTTGGACACCGGTGGATCATAAAACATAATTAGACTATATTCTACCATTTTCAGAGCTCCATATCAATTTAGGTGATTTCTTTAATAAACTCTATAGAGATTAGTAAATTAGGAATGAGGAGAGTTTATAGCGGTCAAGATACAATGGGGCTGTTGCCTCCCAGTAAATACCAGAGTGTGAAAATTATGAAAACGTTACTGACTATGATTTTTCATGTATCTGAAACGCTACAAACAGTTCTTTCCCTCCTGACAGCTCAAGCTAATCATCATGATAAAGTGAACTGGAATGACTCCTCAAAATACTACATTTTGACGTGTAGGGGATAGAAAATTGTTCATTCATGGGCATGCAATGAAAGACTGACCGGTAAGCCTTTTGGAGATTGTCAAGACAGTGTCAGACACAACGATGCTTACTTCAAGTCCAAAACGGCGTAGGGCCAAGCTAATTACATCGTGCGACGTGGTGTCCCGAGTTATGGGAACGGAGACAGGTAACAGATCAATATCGGTATATTGCCTGCGAAGAGAATCGGGTTAAATTTAAAAAAAAATGCAAATGTGATTTTTCTCAACAACACCGAACGGGTTGACACTTCAGTCAATCAAACTGAGATGCAATATGCATGNCATACAAAATCAATAAACGGAGTTCAGTTTTGACATGTGGTCCTCTCGACATAAATAAGGGGCTAGTGAAGTTCATGGACCTTCAATCGTAAAGTGTACCCGCTGCGAGTGGGATCATCATCGTCCCGAATAAGTCGACCGCGTGTGTTGAGAATGCTCATTTGGCGATCATCACTACACGCTCCAAATCAATGCTCTGCGTACAGCTGAAAGAAAGCAAATAGAATTCAAGCTATATATATAAATAGTATGGCAAAAGCGGAATAAGAAATTCGACAGAACTCTCGTGTGCAGACACAGCCTTATTTCCAGGTTTGGGAGTAAGTAAGTCGTGAGACAGTGAAATATTTCGCATCACAAAGTGCTCCAAGTTTCTCCTCACATCCCAACGAGTACTTGGCTTCGGAAAAATCAAATCAGATTAAAAAAAGATGAAATTCCTGACTGTGTTCACCACACACCTGTTCACACAGACATCATACACCTGGTCCTAGTTGCCCATGTGCTCTCGTTCCTCCAATCTATCACGTTTTATTTGTTGCCCAAAGTACTAAGTGCAAGTTGTCAACTCGAAAAGGTCGAATAAAGCGTTACCCTGGGTCAAAGCAACTCGGCCCCATTCGCATGTGTAACAGCTGCCTTTTATGGATTGAGAAAATGTATCGTGGAGTGAAAAACCATTTCCAAAACTGATCCACAATATGAGAGAGGGGGGGGGCAAACGAATCATGGACTGGACGCGAAACACAACCGATTTGTGACTGTTCACACGGGAACAAAAATGATGGTATGTGAAGATAAGTGAATGAAGACCATGAAGAGTGCCTGGTGCCTCTGAACAATCGAATGGGCTAATCCAAGCTGGATATTCTAAATAAGTGAATGAGTTTTGGATTTTTTTAAGAATAAGTCTCGAAATAATTTTATTATATTCAAAGTCTACGGTGCACTGCCATCATTGTTCTCTTCAAATCACAACCATATTTTACTGGATTACGAAGTTAATTAACAAAACACAGAACGGAAGCAATAGTTCGTTTCGTTTCTGTTTCAATAACACAATTTCCCATGGGTTTTGATGAATATTGTGTGATTAAACTTGTCCCAAAAGCATTTTACAAAGGTGAATTAAACTATTCTTTATTTGGTTTGGAATCAGATTTCTCTATTTATGGAGGGAACGGCGTACCAAACCGTTCCTTCATTTGTCACTCGGGTGAAAATAACAACTGTTACAACAAAGATAAACTGCCAATGTAAAAAAATCCTTTTCCCTTTCTCCATTTCATCAACACAAAAAGACATATATGGCCATCAATTTCGCGTGCACTCATTCAGCTATAAACGCACATTTATATGATCATGTAAAACGAAGAAACTTCTCTCGGACTCATTGCCAAACACATGACTCAACCACTTTTCGGTTTGACCCTATTGAAATTGTCTCATATAAATGTGACTCTAAAGGCTTGAAAAGGAATTCACCGAAAACATATTTTCGCCTACATTCTGTGATCTTAAGAACAACTGTCTTTCTCAACATTTACATATATTTTTTCATTTTTTTTTACTCTTTTCCATTGAATATAAATTTGTACGAACAATTTAACAAGAAGGCAGAAAACTTCAACCAAAGGGTTACCATTTGATATACGGAAATGGGGAAAATCGGACAGTGTTGGCGGAATTCACACACATACGCACACACAACGATCGCCTGGGGGCAAGGTGATGGTGGCCAACACCGCCGCACATGTAGTCGCTGTCTATATCGTAGTTTATCCGTTGCTTTCTTGCATCGTTTGAAACAGTAAAAATATCGGCATCACCAACACTACTCAGAGTATCGTGAAAAAACAGCCACAACTGTTAAACATCTGTTATGCTCCTCATCAGTTCATCAGTCATCATTACAACTCACCCTATAGCTCCCGGGTAGACTTGAATATATTCCTTGTCTGCGAGGCGCTCGCGAAATCGAAGAATGATTTGCGGTCGACGAGTTTCATATTGCAGTTGCGATTTAAACGAGGCCGCGGTGTGCAAACTATGCTCGGATCCGTCTGGAAATCGAACGGAGTAAAACAAAGGGTGCATGACAATGGTACAGTTGCTTTTTTCGTTGTTTGAGCATACGAACGCCGGTTGGATGTAAAATCCATTCCAACCCCGATCCTTTCATTGTTTTGCAACCTTTTGACTCCCCCTTCTCACCCTTGAATCATGTGACAAGTCTATTTATCCCTGAGATCTGTCACATGACTTACGTACACTGTACCATGCTGCTCTGTCTGATGTGGTCACCAACCACCCATTCACTGTTTGTTTTCTTCGAGTCACGGAATCCTTGAATATCAATACAGGTAAAACAATAGTCGACTTTCTTTCTCAATAACTTATCCACATAGGCTTCAGTTAGTGATAAGCCTGAACTCATATCGGGCATAAGCCTCCCCCTTCTCGATAACGTAATTGCTTGCGGGACGGGGGTATCTATTTTGCTTTCTATATTGTTTTGATTTTATTTGTCCAACGACTGTCGTAGTTCGAAGAGTCAAAACAATTTAATAATAAGCCAACAAAACTGAACACTTGTTTTGTTCACTGTTGATGGTCGGACACTCATTCCAGTTTGAAGGTAGTTGCCAGCCTCATGACTTTGTATCCCCCGCCTCCTCCCGTTCCTCGTTGAAAAACATTTACACCATATTTTCTCTATTTTACAGAAATGGATGGCATAGTTTGTGCTTTACGAGTCCGGATTTCTTTTTTACGGATCATCAAAGATCCCAATACTGTTTTTTAAATCCCAAAAGTGAAATAACAAAAAGTTAGAAATTGCACGCAGCAAACAAAAAAGTTGTTTATCCCCCACCCAAAGCCGATTGGTTTTTGTTCTGTTCTTGTCACGTTCTTCTAACCCGTAGTTGCATCAGCGGTGTACCTAAAGATATATATATATATAACGGTGGATTCGTACATGTAAAACTGATTGGATAAATTTCGTGTATACCGCAATTTGAGCACATGATTTCTTCTTCGGTTACCGCTCATCCGGATCTATTGACCGCTGCATGATTTTCCTTCTCTGTTTCAAAACCATAGCCACCTGAATGCAGCTGCAACACACAGCGGTTTCTGTTCGGTAAAATCGTCACCACCACAATCACCTCTGAGGACGTGGAATTGAAGAACACGAGGGCGCACATTGTCATTGTTCACTCATGCATTGGCCGCTCCAAAAAAGACGCGGACAATTTAGTACACAACTGTCACCATTCGGATGTCCAAGCACTGTTGGAAATATAATCAGCGAAGAATAATCTGCACCCACTCATTCATTTTCAGTTGTCCGCTGTTTCACTAGCTCGCTTTGTCCTATACATCGATCAACTACTGAGAATAGACAGATGGGATCATTGAAGCGAGTAGGCGACACCGAGCGAAACACCAAAGGTTCATCGCGCAAGCAAGCACTTGTGAATGTTCCGTTAAATCCGGAGCACGCAGGTAGGCACGGGCACGCGCGCATATTGTACACAGACCCCAAGTTCACCAGGAAATCAAAAATGCAACATTTATTTCCCATGAACAAGATAAAACAGGAGGGCAAAATGCACCTGTAAAACTGTCATCATTTTGCTGAGTAGCTACATACATCCTAACAGAGAATCGCAAACTACACGCATTAGGAGTGGATTGGGTGTGTCGAGATGAGAGAGAGTAAACTGAGCAAGTGTGTACCAATTACGTGCTCATTCGGTCACCACAATACTTGAATATGTGTACATAAATGCGTTATATATCATGTGTACAGGAAAAGTTTAGTAATGGTATTAGTAGTAGTAGTAAATGTCACGCTTACCTTTTTCGTTTAGTTCAATCAAACAGTAATCTTTTGCTTCGTCTGGAGGCAATTGGAATGCCTTTAGGGAGAGTTCAATAACTTTCTGTACCGAGACACTGCGACCCAAACTCAGATAACGGCATTGTCTTTTGCGGTATCTAGCCAAACCATCATACACGCGGACGTAATCTGAAACCGATTATGAGGAGGCAAATCATTCTGTGTGTGTTATCGAACCAGAATGAAATGAATGATGTATAGTAATACATAGATATGTAACACTGGTATGTCGGTGATATACTGTTATCGAAGAATCTTGTGAATGAGAGACAGTTGAGTAATCTGTATCAACAACGGAAATGAACGTGTTTATCGGTAAAATTTTAAACACGGTATAATATTCGAACACTACACGCGGAAATCTATGCAATTATGTAATGTCCTTTCATTTTAGTTTAAAAAAATGTGAGCAGTCCCTACTTTTACTGAAAAGAGTAGTGATTTTCATATTATTGCTACAAAATAAAATAACACGAAATCGCAACATGCGATTGTTAAAAATGTAGTTGCATAGTTAGAATAAAGGACCTTAGACAAGAAATTGAACATTTCAACCAATAGAGGTTAGTGGGACAAAATCAGTTAATGTGAGTAATGGAATAATTGATTCAAAATTATTCATGAAGTTCATCATGATAACGAACATAGGCTGTTGGCAAATCCCCTTTTTTAGTTGCCGTTCCCGAACTGACCTGATTTAGTGAAGTAGAGTTCAACTACTGATTTCATATCAAGTAGTATGAATATAAATCGAATGACGCCCGCAGACACTCAGACGGAAAGTTGCCTTAGTACTCACCATAAAAGGGTTTAACGTAAGTCCAGTCGCATTTGTTGGAAATGAACAAACTATATTTATATACATATAGCTAACTTCCTTTCTCTTATTATGGGAAACTGACATGGAAAAACGGAATTCATTCACGCTGAACATAGACGGGTATGCTTACCATCAAAATCACGATCTGCCTTGTCCTTTACCGAGCGCCTTTCCATTCCAGACTCCTCCGGACTGTCCCCACTACTGGAGAATTCATCCGTGAGTGACTGAACTAAATTTGGACAGAAAAGCAGTAAAACTCGGTTAGATGACGAGGCTCGTTCAAGCATTCATGAGTGTCTGAACGAGGGGAATACACTGAAGCGATCGACGTGTGCGCAGCAAATGCGAGATTGAAAAGAGAAATTTAGTGGGCAAAAAGAAAGCTATCGGGGAAAAAATGTAGGGGTAAACAATCCCAATTGTGTGGGTGGTGTAGTAATTTTGCTATGAATAAACCAAGTGATTCTCTTGATTTTGCTACTATCAGGAAACTTTTCGAGCGTTAAATCGTCTTGATTTGTTTCATTGCTTGTGAACAGTAAGGTCTCAGATTATAGGGTTTGTCTGTTAGAGGATTCATAGGTTTAAGTTCAATTTAACACGGTAAATATTAAAAGAGGGGATAGAAGAAGGACAATACTTAAATATTAACATCAGTCTAATCCGTTTTTATAAACTGCTAAATATGTTCACATTATTGGAAAAAGAACGGTAAATTCTAACAATGTATCTTATTATGGTGACTAAAACGTCCATCTTTTAAACCGAATCATTATTTAATAAATTCAGTCAAAAACAAACAGGTGAGAAAAATGAATTGAAGATAGTGTATCAGCAAAGCTCACAGGCCCAGTTGGACCGTGTGGTGTACTGGGTTCCCTGACCAGTTTGGCAATGTCTTAATCAGGTGAAATTCCTCTAATAAACAATGCAGACACCAAATATGCAAGGCTAAAGCACTCACTGCATTCTCACTGTTCTGGATTACACTTCTTCTGATAAACAGCAGACGGGGTAAAAGTCAGTCACGAATACCTACTGTTCAGTGCTGAAACCCGGCAACCTAAGCACCGGCCGTTGGTGTGGCGAACCAAACATGGCACCGCTAGGTTGGCCGTGGTTTCGGCTAGTCAACCACTCGGATAACAAATCCAAAGAAGGCTATCTGTTATGAAGTGCGCAACTTGGCAATATGGTGCCCACAAAGCAGGATAGAGTAATTTCAGTTTAATAGAACCGTTTCCACTATGTTTTTTGTAGGTATAGCGCCTAATCACAGAACTGTTTGAAATACGTACATACATATACCCCAACCAGGAACATGAGTGTGTGATAACAGTTTGGGGAACACCAGATGGCAAACAAACTCGTTTAAAGTGTCGCCCTCTCATGTCAATACAACAAAAAATATATATGAGAGTGATGGAAGATTTGCTTTGATTTTATAGTGAAATCTGTCATGTAAAGTGAAAGTGAAAAGAAAAGTTCGAAAGCACTGTTTCAACTTGATTCACAGCAGTATGAATATATCGATTCAACTGAGGAGAGAACCCAGCAGGACCTCACAGGTAGAACGCAAGTATACGGGCCACTGGAACACCATCATCAGATTGGTTGTTTCCCCCAGTTTCAGTGGCGGTTGATCTTTCAAAGTAGCTAACTCAAGCTGTAAACAAGGTGCTGGTGTAGTGGCTTCTGGGCAACAGAGACCGTTTCGTGTCGGATCTGCGTATACTCAAACAATCGGTTGTTTTCTCCCGGAAACATTGCTGAAGACTCGGAATAAAAGATGTCGTAACAAGAAGGGAAATTTTATTCTCGTGTGAAAATTAGCGAGTGCGGTTTGCCGGTGTGGTCATGCGTACCTCTGAGTGGAGCCGCTCGATAACACACCGCGGGCGAAGAGAGCATATATTGCGAATGGCGGTACGATTATTTTAGCTGTATATGTTCGGACTACCTTGGAAATGAAATTTAGACGCAATTCACATGTCCGACTGCCGTAAAGCAACTTGTAGCAACACTCCGAGTAAATTGTCATCACGTGGCAAAAGCAATTTCCACAATATAAACCTAATACATACAAGGCATAGAATTAATTTTCCGAGTCCGAACAGCAATCACAATCAATGAAAAATAAATCGCGACAACGAGAATAATCCAATAATGTAGAAAAATAAGGCAAACAATTTTGCTTCCGGAAGTAACTTTTGGAATCAGAAGTACCACAACATGCTCATTAGACTGCGTTGACCACATGAAAATCGATAACGAGATTACTGAGATACACGACAACAAATCAATGTAATCCAGTCTATCACAACTTATCCGAACAATAATCTTGTGGATAGTTTCATGAGTATATTGAACTTTCGCATATTCATGATTGAATTTTAAAAAAAAACGAGCAAGAAAACGCTCATTAAATTTATAATATAAAAACAGGCTATGGGAAAGGGTCTGCCTGCCATCATCCTGTCCTCGGCTGTTGATTAGTGAAGTGAATTTCATTAGGTCACCGAGTTCGTTTATAGGCGAGGGGCACAATTTTCCCACATCAGCAGCGGAAACTGTACTTCGGCAATCTGTTTCCGGTTGCTGTCTGATAACCATCAATCGTTTCTCCAATCACGGAAGACAGATCACGAGTAAACTAAAGATTGATTAAGAATTACCAAATGCGAAAACTTTTGTTTATTTACTTGTATTCTAAAAACAAAAAACAACTAAATACGGAAAACGTATTTGTCTGGTTGTATTTTTTAGGGTACTTTTAATCGTCGATAAATTGACTATGCTGTGAACCACAGACAAGTAAAAGTCGCCATCCTTCGGCTTGATTACATCATTCAGACCTATGCTTAATTCTTTCGGCATATTCTCAAAAAAACAGAACCACCTTCTCACCAACAATTGGAAAAAAGCGAAGTAAAAAATCTGTGACTGAACAGAAGCCACCAGGACAAACACACAGAATCCCTCCTGATTGACCACTTGGTGTCTTCAAACGCAACTGAGCTTGCCTCTTTTTAATCGATCACCAATGATCCATTTGAACCCCGTACAATGTAAGCGGACGGTCAGTATGTGCATGGCTCATTACTCACTCACGGTGTGTTTGTTCCCATCTATCATCCAATCCAAACTCTGGCGGTCATTACTAGCTGCTATTTAGTGGAACAGTTGTATTGTATTGACAACAAAGCGTAATAACGAAAATTTTCTCGTTCAAATCCAAATGATAATTGTCCGATTTTTTGGTTACCTACTCAATTTGACTCATTCTATGAGAAATGAAGAAACCACAATTGCTACGCTCGATTAGTATGATTGAATCATCTCATTTACTTTTCATTCACATTAATTAAAGCCAGACATACATGGAGCTCGTGTGTCCCTCGCTAAAAAAACTGCAAGACAAATAGGTCCCAGAGAAATAAAAACAGCCGAACTTATTTAATCCCCTGTTCTTACAATCGGACGCGCCATGAGCCAACGTCACATTCTGTGCTGGCAATGACGAACAAGCTCCCCGATATCAACTACGCCACATTCCTCATGCAACCAGATTAGCCTGTCCAGTTTACAATTTGATTCTAACCGGGTTCGTTGTATCACTTAATAAAAGAGATACAAATGGATTCGATTATGTAGTTTAACAATCCGATTAACGATCGGTCCATTGAGATCATTCAGAGGTGTTTTGAACAGATGTAAGGAAATTCAGTTGTCGGGGGGGGGGTCATGAAAAATTCCCCTGTGAATCTCACTGGGAATAGAACAGCAATTCATCCGGGGCAAATAACCAGTGACCGAGCTCGACTTCGTTTCGGCAAAATAATTATTTCCAATTTATGAAAGATGCGTTTGAAGTGAACAACATTAAGACACCGATTGTGCGGTTGGTCTGGTGAAGCAAAAATAAAGTATAAGAAATGGAATCCGGAGACAACATAGCACACGGTTCGAATTTGGAAATCATTTAGAGCTGGCGATTAAACGCCACTATGCACGCACCCATAGACTCTTCTCAATGGTTGATTCTCTCATCCGATTAGCCCAGGATGAAAGGTGAAACAGAACTATCCCTCCAATCTGTCTCTCTGTCTTTTATCGGCCGATGTGAAACTAGACCACCAAAGATGAGCGATAGGCGGATACACGCATCTGGCGTTTGCTTCAATCGTACAACGGTCAGAGACTTTCATACCCAGTTCAGCTGGACAAGATAGCACAAAAGTGTGATTAAACATACTGGCATACCACTCACAAGAAACTAACAGGCTATGAAGAAAAATTTGAAAGAAATTTGAAAACCTATATGAACATACACTAATGACAGTCCATGCGAGAGTGAAACATGAAAACGGTAGTTTTCTTTCATCCAATTCAAATTTTTATTATGGGAAAAAAACTTCGTTTATCAAATCCCATAGGGCGTTTACACTTTGATCAAAACGAAAACACAAATGTGAAGACGGAAAACAACAAGAAACTATGTCATAATACAAGTATGTACATAAATGTTTGACCACACAAAAGCCAGGAGACCAAAATCGGTGTGCCAAACATCGCATCACAGAAAGAAAACAAATACCCCGTAGTTGTATATTCTTTATCTAAGAGCGAATGAAATGGCGTGCTGTACTCCTTAGAGGCCTCCCAATTTTCAGCGAAATATCAATGAAGTTAGAAAAATTCCGTAAGTTCGACACCGGAACTAAAGTATTCAA